CTTGCTCTCTCTCTGGCGCTCCGCCTCCCTGGGCCTTCCCTCCTTCCCTCCTTCCCTCCTTCCCTCCTTCCCTCCTTCCCTCCTTCTCTCCTTCCCTCCTTCTCTCCTTCCCTGTGTGGCTGTTTCTCCTCCAGCTCCATGGCCGCTCTCGAGAGCAGCGATACACCAAGCTGGCCGACTGGCAGTACATCGAGCAGTGCGTGGCGGTGGCCAGCCCCATGCCCCTGTTCGGTGGGTCCCCTCGGTTCAGACCTACCAGCCAGCCCTGCCATCAAAGGCCACACACGCCCGAGACCACCCCCTGCCTGAGACCTCTGCCTGCCCCAGTGGGGGCTGCTGGGCTGGCAGAAACTCCCCAAGAGCTGGCTTTACCACCTGCACGCAGCTCCCTGAGGTCCCATCTCTGTCCCTCAGGAAATGGGGACATCCTTTCATATGAGGACGCTAACCGTGCCATGCAGACCGGCGTCGCTGGGATCATGATTGCCCGGTAAGTGTGCTTGGTGTCTGGGGGGCTACAGAGAACTATCTGGAGCCACCCCTGAGCGCCCAGTCTGCAGCTCACGGAGCGGGAGCTCACATCTGAGCTTTGTCACTTTGTCACCATGTCACCAGCTCAAGTCCCTCACCTCCCTTGTCCATTTTTCCCCGGTGGGTGGCTCTGTCAGGAGGGGCCGCAGAGGTAGCGGAGGTGGGAGGCCTGGGCATTTCTGCCACTGGGTTGTCAGAGCAGAGAGGCTGGGACCGGACCGGGACTGAGGGCTGCCGGCCCCGCCCCGCCCCACCCCCCAGCGGCGCCCTGCTCAAGCCATGGCTGTTCACGGAGATCAAGGAGCAGCGACACTGGGACATCTCGTCTTCCGAGCGCCTGGACGTCCTGCGCGACTTCACACGCTTCGGCCTGGAGCACTGGGGCTCAGACACCCAGGGCGTGGAGAAGACCCGCCGCTTCCTTCTCGAATGGCTCTCCTTCCTGTGCAGGTGAGCACGGGCCGCTGGCACGGGGGCGTTGGCACCAGGGCCAGCCTGAACCAACCCTGTCCCCCGCTGGCCTGCAGGTACGTGCCAGTGGGCCTGCTGGAGCGGCTCCCACAGAGGATCAATGAGCGGCCCCCATACTACTTGGGCCGAGACTACCTGGAGACACTCATGGCCAGCCAGAAGGCCGCTGACTGGATCCGCATCAGGTGCCCAGGAACGGAGGAGCCAGGGTGGGGGGCATGGGGGGTGGGTGTGGCCCGGGCCCCAGGCCTGACCCCACTCACCTCCTCACAGTGAGATGCTGCTGGGACCCGTGCCCCCCAAGTTTGTTTTCCTGCCGAAACACAAGGCCAACGCATACAAGTAGCTGCGGGCTGGGAGGGGTGTGGAGGCCCCCTGCTGTGTGAGAAGACAATAAATTTTATTCTTTCAAAACCCAGGCCTTTCTGTGACCCTGAAGCTGCCCCTTCCCGCTCCCAGGAACTTTATCTGGGCACCTGCTTGTCCTTGTCCTTGTCAGATCCCGTCTCTCATTTATTCACCAGTTTCCTGGCCACCCCCAGGGGCCTGTCCCCATGTTGCCGGCTGCTGGTGCCCAGAGAAGCCTTGACCACAAAGAGACCACCAGGGCTCGCTGGGGTGGGGGCTTTGGCCACATGGGTGTGGATCGGGGCAGGCTGCCTGGAGGAAGGGACCTTGGAACTGTCAGGTGGGCGTTGCTGACAGAGGCAGAAAGCAGCAGACTAGGCCAGGGTCCAGCCTGCCCTTTGTGATGCCTGTCTCTGGCTGCCTTGGTTTCTCCTTCTACCCCTGCCCATCCCCCCACCCCCTACTCAGAACCCTGACCACTGGGCGGGCCGTAGGCTAGAACCTGCTGCCCGGAGTAACCAGGCAAACAGAACTCCATGGGACTCCGAGCCTGTTCTCCGGGTGGGCTGCCTGTGCTCCCACCTGCTGCTCTCCTGGCCTGCCCCAGCTGGGCCCCCCGCCTCCCCATGCAGCACCCCAAACCCTACTACGCCCCTGCAGCTCCCCAAGAAGTCTTCAGCCCCCAGGGCCTGGACGGCAGCGAGGGGCCAGGCAGCCAGCCCATTCCAGCCTGCACCGAGCCCCTTCCCGCTGTGGGTATGAGTCAGGGAGTGGCAGGTATGGGGAACTCGATGGGGTTGGGGACCAGGGCTGTGTCCACCAGCCTCAGGGGCCCACCTACCCACCTTCCTTTGTTCACAGGTTCCTCCAACCTGTATCAACCCCCAAACCCGGAGAAAGAGGTGTTCGCGGCCCCTCCGGCAGGTACTGGTCGCCTCCCACCCTTGATAGAGACCAGAATGGTTTGAGGTGGGCCGGGCTGTCTTGCCTGCACCCCATTCCTGGATGGCCGCTCAAGGGCGAGGCTCACATCTCGTCTTCCAAAAGGGCCCCAGAGCAAGGCCTGTGTCAGCCATCGAGACAAGGCCCCGAAGGCAAGCCTGTGGCTCTTGTCCCTCAGACAGGTCCCCCAAAGCCAGGCCCGTGGCCACGGGCCCCCGCAGTTTGGGCCATGCCACCCCCTCCCTGCAACGCCTCTCCTGGCAGGTGGGCCTCAGCCCTGCCTCTCTCAGGGCGGTCCCCCTCTGGCCCGCAGGTTTCCAGATGGCACCCTGCGGCTGCTTCTTTGACCCCCGCATTTACCGAATCGAGTGGGCCACCAGCGACTTCGGCCAGTCGCCCCTGTACAAGCTGGCAGCAGTGGGCGGGGGGGCACCGGCAGGGGGCGCCCCCTCAGCGGGCACCTACCTCCTAGAGCCCCAGCACTACCTCAAAGCCCCAGTGCCGCCCCCACCATATCCCCACTTCCAGCCCGCACCGGGGGGCCCACAGTACCTCATGCCCTACTTCCCACCCGAGGGGCCCAGGCCCGAGGCCCTGGGCTTCGTGGGGGATGGGGCGGCCCCCCCCTTTGTGGAGTTGCCCCCGCCCCTGCTCAAGGAAGGCCTGGTGCCCCCACCACCGCCACTGCCCCCCAAGGAGAACAAGCTGCCCCCTCTGCTCATCACGCTGCCTGCCGAGGCCGCGCTGGCACCTGGCACCTACGGCCCCCGCAAGGGCCGCCTGAGCCAGTTCCACGGGCCCGGGGAACCCCTGGCCTTCCCTGCCCAGGAGCTGCGGGGCGGTGGAGCCGGGCTGGGCCTGCTGTACCCACCAGCTCATGGAGAGCCCAAGGCGGCCGAGGTGGGGGTGGCCCCACCGGGGGCAGGCGAGGCCCGACGCCCGGAGGCAGCCGGGGCCTTTGTGCTGCCCGAGAAGGTGCCGCTGGAGGACGCCATGAAGCTCTTCGACTGCCTGCCAGGGGGCGCCGAGCCCCAGGGGTCCTCGCGCAAGGCCCCCGTGCCAGCCCTGCCTGACAGCAGGGGCGGTGGGGACGACGCCTCCGGTGACATTCGCTCGCTGCACCTGCCAGATGAGCTGCTGTCGTTTGACTACAGCGTGCCCGAGATCCTGGACACCGTGTCCAACGTGGACTACTTTTTCAACTTTAAGGCGCTCGACGAGGAGCCGCCGCCCCGCCTGGGGCCCCCTGTCGCCACCACCGCGGGCCCTGCACCTCGGGCCGAGCCCTCCAGCAAGAGAAAGGCCTCCGCCATCAAGAAGGGGCGGCAGGGGAGCAAGAGCAAGCAGGCCTTAGGCCTGGCCAGTGCCACCCCTTCGGGACCCAGGCCGGACCTGGGGACCACCCCTCATTAAAGTGGATTTGATCTCAGCTCAGTGTCTGCTCGGTGGCATTGGGGGACAGTGAACGGGGTGCCAATGTGGAAAGCTGGCCTCTCCACCTTCCCGTTACCCAGCGGTACCTGGGCTGTGTGGGGAGACCCCACGGGACCCCAGCACCCCCCTGGTGTCAGACATGCAGACAGCTGGGAGGCCCTTGGCTTACAGGTGATTCTAACCCTGTGTCCTGGCTCCGGAATCAGGCAAGGAAGGGGCTTTCGGGAAGGGGAGACACCACCCAGACGTCTGCACGGGGACGATTTTTCGCCTCCTTATTTGGCGGGGAGGTCAGGGCTGCCCACAGACGGGCAGGAACTTGCCTGGAGACCCAGCAAGCAGCGGGTATCCCAGGAGTGGTCCCCACCTCCTCCTCCCCTGCCCCCTTTGAAAGCACCACCAGCTGAGTGACGGGAGGCCTTGGAGGGGGCTTTGGGCTGGGCTCTGCTAGCACAGCTGCCTGGGGGTAGGGCATGGCAGGTGGGCCATGGTGAATAGCAAACCCCACGTCGGTTCAAGCAGACGTGCAGGCCATGGGGGCAGGTGCTGGGCGGAGGTGGAGGCACCTGATGGCCTGAGGGGGAGAGCCAGAGGCCAGAGAGGCCACGTCTGTCCCAGGAAGGGTGTCCGGCCAGGCTCCTAGTGCCAGGTCCTTCCATCAGACCCCACATACGGGGTCTGCATCCCAGGGGACAGGCACAGGAGACCCTGGAGTTTGGCTGTCCTGTCATTACTCACACCTGCTTCTTCCTGCCCTGGCTCCTCCCCTCAGGCCCACAGCCTCTCAACCTTCCTTGAGGGCCTGGGGGCAGCTGCCGGCCACGTCCTCCCCTGAAATGCTTAAGGTGACTC